CCTCCACACGGCTCCACGGAAAACCGAGGACTCGGGCACTGAGCCCCGCCGCCCCCGCCCGGCCGCCTGCGTATTCAGCGTGAGTCCCTCTGGAGCCGGGCCGCTGGCAGCCAGCAGGGCGCCCCCGCCCGGCCGGGTGGCCCGGGCCCGTGGTGTCGCCTCTCATGCCTTCCTGCTCTGGGTAGTCCCTGGTTTGTTTCGAGTTTTTTCTCAAACTGGTGCTGAACCTGGGCATTTGCCAGAATTCTGGCTTCGTGTTTTGGCAAAATGGTGAGCGCACGCCCATCGGGAGGCAGACGTTTGGTGTCCCTCTCCGGCGTCAGCCGTCACGGCTGAGGCAGTTCCAGTCGGAGTCTGGCCTGAGCCCTGCGGGGGCCTCGTTAGCCGTGGGGTCCCGGGGCGCCAGCCGAGGTCACTGCCTGCCGCGTGGGCCGCGCTGAGGGTCGGAGACGCCTCGTGCGCCCGGAGCCTGCAGGAGCCGTGCCTGCGGGGTCGTCAAGGTCCCCCTGGTTTTGAGTTGGGCACGAACAGCCAGCCGGCCTCCGCGTTCCCCCGGGTGCCCGGGCCCCGGGCTTGGCGGGGCCCCGCACAGGAACGCCGGACGGGCCCGCCGAAGCCACGCAGCTTTGCGTGCGAGGCCGTCGGGCACCACGTGTCACCCGGCGCCCGGGAGGGGCCTGGCGCGTGCTGTGACGCGAGAAGGTGTTTCGGGCGGCGGACCTGGGACGCAGCAGGCAGCCCCGCCGGAGGCGCTCCTGGGCCGCGTTGCTTAAGGGACGGGGGCCGTCGACGACGCCCTGCATGCTGTGGAGACGGCGACTCTGGCGAGGAGCGAGCGGCCGGGCGGTGGCGCCTGGTGGGCAGGGCTTCTCCGGGGACGTGGGACACGCCAGCCGTCGGCCAGGCAGGCGCAGCTGGGACGCGGCTGGTGCCCTCATCACAGCATGCGGGTGTCGAGGTGCCGTGAACTAAGCCCTTAAAAGAATCCTTCACACTTTTCCTACGTGGAGGAGACACAGAGGTTCAGTGAGAGTCGAAAGCGTTTCTCGTGGGAAACGGGCGGCCGCCGCGGCTCCGAGAACCGGCTGATTCAGAGCGGGAGTGCACGGCCTCCCCTCCCCACGGGCCTCGCCCACGCACAGAAGGGGCGCCGCTTCCCTCACACTGTCACACAGGGCCCGGGGCAGAGCTGCCAGCGGAAGGGGCCCCGCCCCCGGGGGACTGACTACGTGTGACAGCAGCTCACCGTCCTCTCTCGGTGGTGGGAATGATAGTCGTGGGCACGCGATTCGGATTTCTGTCCCAAGACAAGGGTGACCATTTTTTAGTTTTATTTATTTTGAGAGAGAGGAGAGAGTGAGCGAGGGAGGGACAGAAAGAGAAGCAGAGAGAGAGAGAGTGCCGGGGGGGAGGGGACAGAGAGAGAAGAGACTGAGTGAGCGGGGGAAGGACAGAGAGAGAAGAGAGAGCGGGGGAGGGACAGAGAGAAGAGAGAGGCTGAGCGGGGGAGGGACAGAGAGAGATCCCAAGCAGGCTCCATACTGTCAGCACAGAGCCCCAGCGTGGGGCTCAAACCCACAAACCCTGAGGTCATGACCTGAGCCAAAATCCAGAGCCAGAGCTGACTTGAGCCCCCTGGGGGCCCCACGGAGGAGCATTTTAAAACCTTTCTGTCTCAAGAGAATCCAGGACTGACCGAAACTGGCAGACGTCCCCTAGAGCCAGACCCCAGCCCGGGACCCCAGCCGGGCACGCCGGAGGCGCGGGGCTCTGGGGGAGAGCTCAGCACCAGCACCCCATTCAACCTACAAACCTCCGTGCGGGCCGCCAGCATCACTGCCGCAGCCGCCTCCAGGCTGCGAGCGGGAGCGCCCCCAGGACTCGAGCCCAGGAGCGTCTCTCTGCCGGACATGGCTCCTTCGCGGCCGCAGACCTCCCCGAGTCCCCTGTGCGCCAGGCCAGGCGGCTGAACCTCCCTGTCGTCTTAGGGGACGGAGCGCGGTGGGGCTCTTTGAGCAAAAGGCATCTCGGCCAACTGTGCCCCGCGGGGCCTTGTCCCTGGTGCTCCACACGGGGTTGATGAGACCGTGCGTCCTGCAGTTGTGAAGTCGGACGAGCATGGACAGGCCCAGGGATCCGTGAATCGGTGCTGTGGTGGGCGGTACTCAGGACAGTGGCCACCAGCCCGCCACGGCCCGCTGGACCCTGCAGGGGCAGGCTGGCTGTGGGGCTGGGGGCCAGGCCTTGAGGCCCGGGGCTGGGGCGCACACTGTCTTTAGTAAAACGCATACAAGAAGTCAGACAGTGGGGCGCCTGGTGGCTCAGTTGGTTAAATGTCCGACTTCGGCTCAGGTCATGATCTCACAGTTCGTGGGTTCGAGCCCCACGTCGGACTCTGTGCTGACAGCTCAGAGCCTGGAGCCTGTTTCAGAGTCTGTGTCTCCCTCTCTCTCTGCTCCTCCTCCACTCACAAAAATGAATGTTAAAAAAAAGCAATCAGATGGATGTGGAGTGCTCTGGAGATTTTCAGAGGTGTTTCTGCTGCCGGTTAGAAGTGTTTGTTGTTAATCCTTACCGGGCTGTTCTGCACGTGGCGCCAGGGTTTGTGAAGACGCGGCCTCAGCAAGGTCTTTGGCGGGATGTCTGGGGACATGTCCAGAGGCTCAAGTGTTCGCCTTCTTTGATGTGACCAGGAGGGTGGCTCAGGCCTCTTACTCGGCTGTTCCCCTCCCTGGTGATAGCCACACATTGGAAACAACCCAGAAGGCCAGCAGTGAGGTGCCCATCAATTAATTATACGGCAACACAGGACACTGTGATCGAACCATGTTAACAATGTGCTAAGATGCTCAGCGTGTCTGTAATTTAAAAAAGCCAGGGTGTCCATTTATATATTAGACTTCGTTAAACTATATCCATTTTTAGATGACGACACTCCCAGATTGACACCCAGCTGTGGAGACCATTTCTGTGGAGGATTTTGAGACATAACTGAGCGCGTGCGCGTAGAGGACTCGGTCTCCACAGGTCGCGTGAATCTCGGGCATGGGTGCAGCCACCTTTCTCTTGTTCTGAGGGAATCAAATCCACTCAGAGATGGGTCTAAAGTGTGAAATTATCCGTTACATTCAGCGGGCGGAGCCCAGGCGCCGGGGCTGAGGCCGGGTGGCAGCGTCTGCTGTGGCACCACTGCCCTGGGGCTTGTGGGGGCCACGGAACCGTGGCCCCGGGGCCCCAGACACCTCTCTGGGCTCGGCCTCATCTCTGAGCTGGAGATGAGTTTGCGTCTGTTGTGCTGCTGCCAAAGCCATGCCGGGAATTTTCAGCCGAAAGCAGTGACTTTAACTGTGTACCGCGGCGCTCCGTGACCCACGCCGACACGCGGACGACCCAGAGCAGGTTGTTCACGTGCAGTTTTCTTCCGTCAGTCAAGTGCGCAGGGTGTTAGAAGACGCGTGCGCCGCATGCCCACATGTCGGGGGCCTGTGCCGTGGTGCCTTCCCGCCCTCCTTCCGGCCCCTCCCTTCTCGTTTTACCCCCCGGGGGGCAGGTGGCCCCAAGAGTTTGTTTCTCTTTCTAGTCACTAGGTCAGCGGGGCGGGTAGGGTCACACAAAGCTGCCGTGTGGGACACTCTGAGTGGAGGCGCCCTCCCTGCAGCGGGGACGCGTGTCCGCCTGTGCGCGACACCGTGCGGTCTGTCCCTTCGGGCAGGGGAGCCACCCGCAGACCCCTTCCCACCCCCACGCCTCCCCAGAAGCCCTCCCCCACGGCCCTTCCTTCCACCCTCGGTGTCTCCCCCGGAAGCCGGCACTCGGCCGATAACCTCGTCCAGGAAATGCCTCTGACCCACGAGGCGTTTCCTCCGTCAGGAAGAGCCTCATTCGACAGCTACGCGAGCTCTTTAGAAGTGACACTGGCGCTTCACGCCGACTCTGGCTGGTTTCAGCCCCGGGCAGACAGGTCCTCTGCGCACACGCGTCTCTGCCCCACTCTTAACTGGTCAGGCGGCTGGATCGGTTTCTCTGGAAGTCCCGGAGTTTTCTCTACAAGGCGAGAGACCCTGGGCCTCAGGTTTTATCTCAGCATCCCGTTGAAACGGAACCGAAATGCACACAGCAGCCAGGGGCGTGGGGGTGGACGGAGCCCCGGAGCCCCAGAAGCGGGCTGTGGTTGGAGAGCAGCGGCCGGAGGGCCAGACGCTGGTCCTGTGGGCGTGTAGTGGCCAGCGCGGGCGGCCTGCTACTTCTCACGGCCAAGTGCGACCTTCCTGAGGAGCCAGACCCTGAGACGTGCTGTAAAGGGAGAGCAGGGCCGCTTTCAAATGGCAAGTTGCCTCCTTCGCAAGTGTCTCCAGTTCCACGCCTACAAGATGGGGCTATTGAAGCAAACGGCTATGCCGCCAGGAGACAGCATGGTTCCGTGGCTCTTTGGCCAGGATCTGGCAAGTGCCACACGCCCTCCCCTTAACACTGCACACAGTGGCTTCACGCGGCACCCCTGGTTGCCTTCTCGTCTCCTGGGTCTTGGTGAGAAGCTCATCTGTTCCCGGGGAGCAGGTGGTCTCTTTTGTCCTGTGCGGGTCCTGGATCCCGGGGGCTGGCGGGGGCGGGTCCCAGATCGTGGGGGCTGAGGGGAGCTTGCTGTGCGCCAGTGAGAAGGGGGCGGGGGAGCCCTGACAGCCAGGGGTGGGGCCGCGGCTTGCCGGTTCTGTGGTCAGGCTCGCACCTCGGTAACCTTGTAAAGATCTGCAGCTGGTTCTGGAACCTGTCTTATTAGGGAGTGTGAACCATTTATGTCGGCCTGTCATGAAGGAAGGGAAATATTTTAAGGTCGTGACGGACGATGTTTGCATCTTGTCCAGAACCTCGTCTTGAGACCCGACAGCCTGTGGCCATGCGTCACGGTCACATAACCGTTGGCTTTACGCAGACATTACCCTGACGGTGGTGTGGACAGTGGGGCGTGGCGTCGCTGTCTAACGCCCTGTGTTCCCTTGCAGCCCGTCCCTCCCCGCCCTGGACTGGCAGCTGCCGTCGCGCTCGGGACCCTACGAGCTTCGCATCGAGGTGCAGCCCAAGCCCCACCACAGAGCCCACTACGAGACGGAGGGCAGCCGGGGGGCTGTGAAGGCGTCGGCCGGAGGACACCCCAGCGTGCAGGTACCCATCCACCCCCTGCAGGATGCGCCAGGAGCCCGTCGTGGCGCCTGGTCCACTGCTCATGGAGACAGCTAACTGCTTCTCTGTTTCCTTCTTGGAGTCAGTTGTCCTCTCTAGATGCTTTTACCTGAGCGCAGAGTCCTGCCTCTCTCCTCAGAGTCCTGGAGCGGGGCAACTCTGTGGCCCTCGATCTGTGGCTGAGACCCGGCTGTCAGCACTGTGGAAGTGGGATCCCTTTGGGGTTCCCAGAGACCGTGAGGGCTGGGGGTCGTCCGCGGGGGCCTGGCCTCGGGTGGGGGGGCCACGCTGGCGTGCAGGTCCCGTGCGTGGCTGGAACCTCGCCGATGCTGTGTCCAGATGGTCACTTCCTCTCCCCACATCTTCCTAGGCTGACACGTTTGATTCACACAAGATGGGAGAGGGGAGAAGGACCCCGAGGGTGGGCCTTGGTTTCCTGACGGCACCGGGGGGCAGTGTGCACTGTGGGCTGTCCTCTGTGCCTCTTAGGAGCCGTGACCCTGGCTGTTACTCCTTTGAGTAACTTCAAATAGGAATAGAAAACTTAAAATAAATATAACCTCAAAAGTGTTTCATTTTTGAGGAGCTCTCATATAAAAATCTGTAAAGTGTTAGCAGAACCAGGGGGCTGCTCACGGGCCTCTGCAGAGACCTCGTGCCCGCCTTGTCGCTCCCGCACTCCGGGTCGGCCCCGCCCGTCCACTCAAGTCCGGGAACAGGAGAAGGCGCAGCGGTGCACGGCCCACGGGCGCCGCCAGCCCTGGGCTGGCCTCTTGCCCAGACTTCGCCGCCCCTCAGGCCGCGGCCTGGGGAGACCTCAGCCGCCGGCGTCTGCCTAGCACATCTCTAACAGTGGATCGAAGGTCCCCTTGGTCAATATTTAAGTGAATGCCATTCACGTGGCACCGCTTTTGGTTTGGATATTTTCAGTGGTTTCAGTGGTTGATTTTAAGACTTCCGTCTTTCTGAAAGACAGAGGTTCTCAATGTGAGGTCCCTGACCTGGGAGTTGTTAGAAACGCAGGTTCTGTGGCCCCCACGAACCACGGATTGTGGAGTTCCCGGGTGGGGTCCGTCCCTTCCTGTGTCATGGGGATCTCACGCATGCCGCGAGGCATCGGGGAGCTCTGTGCTCCCAGGGCAGGGGCACCATGCGCCGCTGGGCCATGTTGGGTGTACCGGCCTCCCAACCAAACACGCTTGGACGGAAGGTTCACTTGGCTTGAGAGTTGGAGCGTTTGTCACCAGTGGTCCTGGGGCGCCGTGGTAACCGCGACAGGGACAGGCAGCATCCACCACCCGAGGGCATTGCCCTTCACCTCAGGGAGGACATGTGGCCGTGGAGGTTGGCCGCAGTGTGACACGTGGACTCTGGTCCTGACAAGCTTTGACCCTCCTGCCCAGACCCATCCACGTGGGCACAGGCTCGCTCTCCTGCCCAGAGCTCCGGGCAGTGGATGAGGAGTGCTGGGCCCCCACCACAGAATTTGGAGCCCCAAGCGGTCATCGGGAGAGTGAGGCCAGCCAGAGGGCCCTCCGCCAGGCACGGCACACTTTCACCTTATTCTGCCCCGAGAAAAAGAAGGCCTGCCCGGGAAGGAGCCCCGGAAAGGAAGGCCATCCGCCCAGATGACAGTCAGCAGCGTGGAGTTTGTGGGACGGCGCTTGTGGCCACGTGCTTGATGCCAATTAGCGCCTGCCTGCGTGGCTGCGGGACCACACACCTTGGCCAGTGGGCATTGTCCATCCACCTTTCCCGCGGGTAGAAGCCGAGGATGCGGGAGCCCAGCTCTGTAACTGCAGACGTTCGACTCCCTTTCCTGCAGCAGTTTTCACCGAAGAGAAGTGTGCTCCTGCCGACGGGAAAGGCCATGGAGCAGCTCACGGAGAAGCGAGAACTGGGCAGCAAAACACTCTCATTTCTTGAAAGTACAGCAGCTGGGGCCACGGGTCCGGTGGTGGGAAGAGTGTGTGCAAACGTTAGCACCTTCTGCGTGGACGTGCGATGCCCAGAACGTGGTATGCGTGGTTGAGGATGGTCTGTGGCCCCCACTTCCAGCCTCTCAGTGAGGATTCACTCACAGTGGAGAGATTCAGGAATTTGAAGTGGTATATAAAACATCATAACAATAGTTTCAGATTAAATGACGGCAAATGGAAGAGCTGGTTGTGGGTTTGAACGGGGTGAACGCCCCCCCAGCCTCACGGGGGAAATACAGAAGGAAAATGGTGCCCGACAGAAACTGTCAGTGCTGCGAGGGTCTCTCACGGGAGAGAAACAAGTGACTTAGGCTCTTCTGATGGATCCGTGGCAAAGTGAATTCCTGTGTGTGCACATGTGAGGTGAGCAGTTAAAAAGAAAGAGTTTGGGGAGTTTGTTTTCTTTTTCAGTCGGTGGCCCGCACGTTGGATAAAAATAGCGTTTCTTGTAATTACAAAACACATGAAAATAGAAAGCTCTCTCAGGTGCTGCGAAAGCACGCTAACCACAGGTTTTATCCTGTGAGTTATTTTCGCGCGTCTTGACACGGGGCTCCAGCCACGCCCGCTCCTCCCTTTACAGAAGCGGGTACCCACCCTTGCCACGAGGCCCTGTGGGGGTGGTTCTGGGGAGCCCGATGGAAACACGCCGTCTCCGTGCCGGCTGCGGGCCGCCTGACCCTGCTGCATTTCCAGGTCTGTGCATCAGACCAGAGTCCCCTCGGGCAGAACAAGGTGCCCGGCCGCACCCCCGGGCAGGACCGGCTCCCGGCCCGCCTCCATCCAGGAGAACAGTGACCCCCAGGGCCTCCTTCCCAGGCACAGACTGCAGGGCGGGAAGGGGCTTGGGCACTCGTGTCGGCTCTGCCTCATGTCTGGGTGGGGGCGCGGATGCACGTGTGGCCTGCCCCCGTCGCTGGGGGAGCCGCCACACGGGACCCCAGCCGGCGTCTGTTTCTCCTGAGTTCACACTCGTGGTCTCCTGGGCCGGCCCCACGCTGGCTGTAGTTCCGACCCCGGGAGGCTGGAGCGTGGCTGTCAGGGGGTCCGGCATAGCAAGGCCCTCCGAGTCCTGGGCGAGGAGGGAGGCATCGGGAGGGCCTGCGTGGCACTCGCCTTTCCAGGGAATGCGGGGAGGCTGGCCCTCTGCCAGTGCTGCTGCTGAGAACCCAGAGCGCTGCCCTGGGGGCTCCTCCTTCAGAGACTGGGCTCCTGGCGGAACTGATCCTGGTTTTCTGCTCTGTTTTCCTGTGTGAGCCTCTCCCTGCCCTGTGTGCCCGGTGCCCTGTCCACAGAGACCCTGTCTGCTCCCGGCAGCCCTGCAGGGGTCCGAGGAACAGCCTGGAGGGCATCACTGATCTCTGAGCCAGGGGTCAAAGAATTAAGCTCTGTTTACCAAGGTCCCGAAGTAACTGGCTGATAGCATCTAGCCCACCACACAGGAGGCCGGGTCTGCGTGAATAATTAATGGGTCACTGAAACGAGAAGCCTTGGGAAGCCGAGGTCGTAACCAGCATTTTAGGCTTGTCGTCGGTCCCAGACTCCTGGTTGGTGGCCAGTAGCCAGTGTCAGCACTGCCTGATGATGCAGGAACCGGCCTGGAGCAGAGGACGGGGTCCTCGTGGGCCCCGGGGACCACCCCGGCCTCAGGCTCAGGCAGGCTGCTCCAGGTGCATCAGGGCTCAGCTGTGTCCCCGCAGAATAGGGCCAGCGTCCCTGTAACGTGAGGCCTCTGAAGCCTGCAGCCCAGGGACAGACACAGTGGGGAAGAGCCCGAGTTCTCCCGTTCTGGAGGCCGGCAAAGCCTCCTCTGTGTGGGGCTGACCGTGGGGCTGCAAGGCCGGGTGCCGGAGCTGGCAGGCGCGTGAGCTGGCTGGTGTCCAGCACCCGCGGCGTGCTCTTTCCCCCATTGTCTCCTACTGGCTTGTCACGGCACATGTCACTTCCTACCGTCAGGAGGGGCTGCTAACCTGGAAAGCCAGGGTCCACAATGGCTGCACCTGCCCTGCACCCCCCAAAATGTGCTGTCTGCTTTCATGACAGCAAGGGCTCATCCCACTTAAGGAAGCCAGAGATGCCCTAGAGCATGGTGTCCCTGGAAGAGTGCCATCCAGGTGACCAGTTTGCATCATCGTAATTTTGGGGGGAATCCTTGGAGTATCGTTACCACCTGCTGAGTTGCAGCAAAGGTATCCGAACTCAGGCAGGCTCCTTGACACCTGTTTGAGGCTTGCTGCTCAGCTAAGCTGATGGAAGCCTGGTTTTGGTTCTCTGTGCAGCCCAGACATCCCTGGGAATAAAGTCCATGAGCAGCACTGCAGTGGAAGCTGCCAAAAATCTTCTGATTTAAAACTTGAGCTTCCTTGTTCCGAGATGTGGAGATTTTAGCATATAGTCTCCTTATGCTCAGAACCTCTGACAATTGGTTTTAATTCGGCCACGTTTTCTTGTTGTTGTAGGCGGTCTTCTGAAATATCCTTTGAGGGCAGAGCAACGTTCAGGGCTTTTCCACAGAGAGGTGCGTGCCCTGTGCCCTCTTCACCTATGCTGAGCCTCAGAAACATCAAGTCAGGCGCTGGTGTGATTGGGGGGTGGGGTGCCAGGCAGTTTAACAGGAGACAATGGTAAAAAATTACCATCTTTAAAAAAAAAAAGTTTATTTTGAGACAGAGAGAGGGCGAGCAGGAGATGGGCAGAGAGAGAGAGAGGGAGAGAGAGAGGGAGAGAGGGAGAGAGGGAGGGAGAGAGGGAGGGAGAGAAAGAATCCCAAGCAGGCTCCATGCTGTCAGCACAGCTCCTGATGCAGGGCTTGACCTCACGAACCATGAGATCATGATCTGGGTAGCAATCAAAAGTTGGATGCTTAACTGACTGAGCCACCCAGGTGCCCTAAGAAATTATCATCTTTAATAAAAATGTTGAAATTAAGGAAATCCGCATCCCAGCTGTGCCTCCTCATGGTGGCCAAGTGACAGGTGCCTGGTGCCCGCAGGTGGGGCTGCA